GGGGGGGGACAGGTCCAGAGGAAGCTGGTAGGCCTGGGGGGCGCAGGGGTAATGACTCCACAAGGAGGTCTGCCCAGTCTGTGGGAGAAGGGGTAAAACTAGCCCAATCAGCTTTGCCAGGGGCACAAAAAGCATAGCCCTGGGGCTGTGGAGAGTAGCTGGACTTTCCCAACCTTAATACTTCACCATGAATGTCTGCAAGCATTCACTAGGTTTGGTGGAAACTAAATCAGGCATACCATTTTTAGGATGACCTAAGCCCTGCTAACAGTTCCTCACCTAGGCATTTAGATCACCCTAACCTTGTTCAGGGTGATCTAAATATAATAGTTAGATATACTCTGAACCTTGTAGTAATTTGGTTTAATGGAAAGATACAAAATTTAATTGTTAACCAATAGAGTTTCCTATTTTGACTGGTCATTGTGGGGAAAGTCAATAAAATGTATTATTTTTGGATACAAACTCCTACATGAAATCAGTTACATTTCTTCAAAAATATTGACATTCTGAATTCCCATACAAGAGCAAAGACCTCTAATGGAGTGCCTGACTGGTGAATGGTGCTCAGCTGTGCCTGGCTCTGTGGCACTGCGTTGGATCACGGGAGGCATGGGGGACCCCGGAGGGTGTGCCAGAGCCCATTGAGAAACCCCCATTCCCTGCGTGAGCTGGGTATGCTACAGCCTGTACAGCTCCCTGCCTGGGATGCTTTTGGTCAGTGACCTACCTTGTTTGATTTGCTGATCTAACCTAGATCAATTAAGTTTGATACCACATCAATCCAGATCTATCTTAGACTGGAATCCACCATTTTTAAACCAGTCTACGTGCTCTAAACTTCTGTTCTGTTATGGGTACAGACCGGTTACCTAAACTGGAAAAGGTGTAATGTCTGTACCTGGCCACATTGTGTGCAAGAAATTATCAACTGTTTTGAGTCTCCAGAACTCTGTCATTAGTCGGCTAGTGTATTATGCATCTTGTTCTGTTTATATTGGTTGTGGTATGATCCTGAACTAATTTAGTACTGGACTTAGTACTGAATTTAGCATAGAGAAAGCAGTCATATATAATGAACTTACATGTTCTTGAACCTGACATTTACTTCCCATGTGGCATTAGGCAACCTGAGCTATTGGTGCCTCATTTTTCTTTGTTATCCTGTTTGTGCTTTATTCATTTTACTATAAGATCTCTGGGGATGCAGTCTCCCTGTAAATATTTGTGTACCTAACTGTCAGCATACAGGGCCGGATTTAGTTGGTGTTGCTATGTGTTTGCTACCATATAAATAAGAACATTTTGTAGTAGAAGTATCACAGAACATTCAGACATTTTATTAATGTATTTGTTTAGAGAAGGCCAAAATGTTTCAGCAAACTTAGTTCATATGTTACTTTCCTATACTTAAATTTGGCCTTAAATTTATTGATACCTTTGCTCATAATATAGACTTGACCCCTGCTTCATATAGATCTAGCAGAAAGATGATGGCAATTATGCACCAAAGATAAACTTTGCTATCAGTCGAAGTATGAAAGAGTCTCCTGCACCCGTCCTCCCCCCTCTCTGGCCCTCCCAGAACAGCCAGAGACCTCAGAGCTACATCTTTATTATGAGATAGTAGATAATGTAACGGGTTATGCTATGTGAAGTGTGAACAAATGTTCCCCATAGGTTTTATTTAATTTGATCAAAGGATCAAAGGCCCGTCTATGCTAAGTTAAGTGTCTAGCAGAATGTGCTACTGCTGGAATTAAAAAAGCAATCAACAGTTATTAGATAATATGGACAAGAGAAAGGGCAACAGTTATGATCCAGAGTTTTAGCAGTTTTCCTCCAAGTATCAATTATATTTGAATGGAAAATGGCCTATCTATTCTGAGAACTGGCAAGTCTTCATTTAGCAGAAGAGAGATGTGAGCCCATGTTGTGGTACAGAAGACTGTGACTGTGCTGAGCTTCCCAGACACAGCATCTGGATATTGAGTAATGAAGGTCTTATCATGTAAATACATTTAATGCCCAACATGGGGGCGGAGGGAGGGAATCTCTTGCAAGTATCTAGGACACTGAGTGATCATAGAATGCAGCATGATACTGGGATCAAAATGAACTAAGAAAACATCCTCTGTGGAAAAATGGATGAATCGAAAGAAACCTACCCAACGTGAAATTCTCTGAGTATGTGGAGAAATTAAAGAGGTTTGAACAGCAGTTCACTTTATATCTGAAAGTAATAGGGGAGGAAAAGTCAATAAATAGTCTTATTTCTGAAAATGGCTGGTTCTAAAGTACATGTGGTATTTAACATTTTTCAGCTAGTTCAGAAAAAAGAGCCTGGGTCCGTTTTAAGAGACCAGACTGAACAAATGCAGAACATATTGCAAAGCTGGACACCAAAGTCTGCTTTTGATGAAAATTATGAAAAAGACAGAGAAACATTCTTTATGTATATTTCTTTCTTTCTTTATTAAATATATATACCTGCCTTCCTACCAAAGGCTAAGAACAGCTTACAGTAAGAGAACAGAACAACTTAAAAGGGCAACTAGAATACCAAAATCAAACCAGGGACCCACAAAACAACATCTTGCCCTAGTTTTGTTTGGTCAACACTTACTCAAATAGAAAGGTATTGCCATGTTGCTAGTAATCAGTTGCTAGTTGTACCTGATGTCCAGGATCAGAATCTGATTGCCCTTGAGGGAGTATGTTCAAAAACTGAAGAGCAGTGGCCAAGAATGACCTACCATGTGTTTTCACCAAGTGGAGTTGATTTACTGATGGTACTTGCTGGAGGTCGCTTTTGGCTGACCTTAGGGATCAAGAGCAGGTTTAGAGAGAGATAATATATGTATATTAATCTTTATAACAAATATGCTCCTAACCAGCAAAATCTTTCTTGCATTTTCAAAATAGAAACAAACATCAATTATCACACCCAACACTCATTTATTGATTGAATATTGACTGAAAAGTTACTAGGCAAACAGCATCACTTACCAACCTTTCCAGAACTACTTTACCAAACAGCCAGCTATATATTACGAAGACACAAAATGCATAATAAGCAGGCAGTCAAATCTGTTCATTATAATGGTAGTTCAGTCTAATGATGATTTATCCTCCTGTAGTTATTACACTGTAATACCAAAGAGTTGCTTTCCTTCTCATCTCTTTCCTCTTTTAGTATGTCTTCTATGTAAAAGCATACATGACTGACTAAGTGTGATGGCTTCTTTAAAGAAACCATTTTGCAGAAAAAAGGATGAACAAATTGCATAACTTTGTTCTCCAGTACTCCAATATGCTGTTTCTCTTGCTGTGTTTCAGGAGCATGGTATTCCAACTGGTATGGGCTATGCGGTGGCTCCGCACCATTCTGGGGTCTACCCAGTACATGTTCAGCTCTATGAGGCCTGGAAGAAGGTCTGGAGTATCAGGGTCACCAGCACAGAAGAGTATCCCCATCTGAAACCTGCACGACACAGACGGGGCTTCATCCATAATGGCATCATGGTACACTGCATTTCATTATATCTTAGAAATATTTCTTAAAACGACAAAAAAGATTGCATCCCCAGTCTGACTCATAATTATGCATGAAAAGATGTGGAAACCAGCAAAGAAAAAAAATGAATGGGAGGAGTGATTTTCTTCTCCAGTATGCAAGGTTTTGGTTTAGATTTTGTTTTCTAATATTCCCATAGTAGAAGGACCTTTGCAGTTTGCACTGTAGAGGGACTAGAAGCATGGCCAATGATATTGAAGGATATGCAACCAGGTGATAGGAAACAAAGGTATTTACACCATCCGTTCAGCTGCAAAAAGACCAAAATAACCTGTAAGAATCACTTGGCGTACCTTAACAACTAGGTGGAACAATATGCTACAGATTAAAGTAAATAACCCAGAAGAATTCAATTGATAAGGAGAATTATGACAGGTAGAAGGTAATTACACAGGTTGGAATTTTCCCAATACTCAGAATAGAAATCAGGATTGGCCAACTGTGCCCTGGGCCATTAAAGAAGTAACTCCTATTGAATTCAACAAAAGATATGGACTTGCATTCAAAGACGGAACTTTATCTCATATATTTAGGAAAATAAAATGTAATTGATAACACAGTAACAAGTTACAATGTAGATTTCAATTAATTGCAAGTAGGATCATAATTCTTCAAGCATTTAAATATGCTTAGATGCTTTATTGAATGTGATCTTTCATTGATTTCTTTTGATTTGACTGAATATAAAGAGATAATCCAAATGGTAAACTAGCTAAAAATGTAGTTTGTTTTGGGAAAGGCTTGTACAAGTACTGAATAATGCCAATAAATCTTAAGAGTTTTGATGTCTTGTGATTAAATCGTTAACAGAATAACTGAGGTGGATGCTTTGGTTCATTGGGGTTTTTTTCCATCTACCGGTTTTTTGAATCCTGACACACAATCTGATGATTTATGATGGTATGTAGAGCTGACCTCAGGATATACTCATGCAACAGTCCTGCCAGCCCCTGTATATATTTCAGTTGTGGAAGGGAATTTGATTTTCAGGGCAGAGAAAAGAAAGAGCTATTTCTTCTGCCTGCAACCTGAAATACACATTTTGTGCAATATCTCACTAGCAAGAAGATTAATAGCTTGAGATAGTGAAGATGGCCAAGAAGCACTACTTATCTTTTAATAAACTAACCTTGCTAAAGGAGGAGAAGCTTTTTTCTTCCTGTTACAAAACCCTGAAAACAAACCCTGAATTATTACTATGTGAAATGAATAGAATGGTCTCAATGAAGGATTTGGAACACAGTGGTGCAGCCACTTTTTAACAGGCAGTTGGAGTTATCAACGAGCAATATCGTGCTCATCTACGATGAGAACAAAATAATCCATATGGGAGCAAAATCAGCAAGGTTTCTGCCATCTCCTGCTTTTTGAATGAGATTTACAGAAGTAGGCTCATGTCACTGGCATTTTTATTTTGTTCTCAGGTACTCCCCAGGCAAACCTGTGGCCTTTTCACTCACACAATTTTCTACAAGGAATATCCTGGAGGTCCTCTAGAACTGGACAAAAGCATCCAAGGAGGGGAACTCTTCCTCACCATCCTCCTGAATCCTGTATGTAACCTACTTGACTAATCTAGTACCATACTGAACCCTTATAGGTGGGGGAAAGGTAAGAACATAAGAAGTGACATACCGGGGCAAATTAATCATCAGCTATCTCTAGTCTAATGTCCTGTCTTCAACAATGGCAAGTAGTAGATGGTTTTGAGGAAGAGGAGATGAACAGGGCATATCTAATGAAATCCATCCCATGCTATACCTTCCCTGATATCAGCCAACATTGTTTTAGGGATATTGGAGACAACTGAATTTTTAATTCATATCTCATTTGACAAGGTAATCACCTTGCATCTCTGACCTTCTCTACTTGCCAGTTACTTCGCATGTCACTTTACCATCTCCTCCCCTTTTTGCTCATTGTAGTGGATGATCACTATTTCACACATGATGACCTGCCTATTGATGGATGTCATTTTCCCCATGAGAGGTACCATAGTGACTGAAAAGAATAGGGGAAAAACAACTTTTTCTGTGGCTTTTTCTGTGTGTAACATTATGTGATCCTGTGTGTGTTTTTAGATATGAATATAGTTTTATTTATCGTATTGCTGATATTTTAGTAATTTGTTGCATTGTTGTGACATTTTATATCTGTCAGTCAGACAAAAAAGAGTTACAAGATGCAGCCTTCCATAAAAGAGAGGTTTATTTCAATTTCCTTTAGTCTATGGGCTTGTTTTAACCAAACTGATTTCCAATAATTGAAAGTACAATACAGGAAACCCTTGCTCTCGTGGTTTCAAATATCAGCAAATGCCGAACCCGCATTTTAAATACACTTTATACACTTACAGGAGCTCCTTGGGAGCTCTGTGCTTGCTGCCACCAGGCTCCTGCCACCACTCCTGTTGCCGCTGGAGCCGTGTCCCCCACCAGCTGCCGGGGGCACTGCGTTCAAGAACACAGACTGCAGTGCCTTATTCGCGGATTTCGTCATTCGTGGGGGATACTAGAACATATCCCCCACAAATGGCAAGGGGATAGCATTTGAAAATATTATTGGATAGCATTGGAAAAAAAACAGCTTTATATCTATACTGTTACCATTTGAGTTTTACTTCTTACTTTTATGATTTTCTATCATTACCTCATCAAAAGCTGTTATTTTACTGAACTGCATCACACACGTGAAATTCTGACATGTACTCTCCCAAACCTGAGTTAAGTACGTATATGTTCCATATAATCCTTATTCAGACAGGAAGAAATATAATTTAATCATGTGTGAGCTGAAGTAAGACATGTCATAAAACCCTACCATCATTTAAGTCAGGCCAGCGCAGCACAGTATAAAATATGCAGCAACCACAACAGTAAAAGCAAAAGCAAGTCTTATCATGCAACAAATTGGTGTGAGCACAGAATAAAACCCACAAAACATGTATTCATATATGTGTTTTCCAGTAAATATAGCATTTTGATGCCTTGCTGTATAGTCAATGCATTAATAAGTGAACAAACAGATTTTTTTCCTTTTCCACAGTAAGGAGAAATTTAAAGATCCAGTGGTTCTTGTTTTGAAATATTTCAAGGCTTCACACACTAAAATATAAACTATTTGAAAAGGTCCAGCCACTCAGGATACTTGCCTATTCTACTGGCCAGTTGAAGATTCAGCTCAATAAAAAAATATGCATTTGAATGTGAGGTGTAACTGACAGTAGTGCATACTAAAATAGTAACAATACACTTCCCTATGTGCAGTCTGGGGCACTTTCACACATAGTCTGGTTAATGAGCTTTTCTTGTACTTGTTTATCATTTAATGCAGTTTCTGAAAATGAATACAGTGCACATTGGTGTTTGCTTTTCAGATAGATTACAGAGAAGACAGCTATCTGGCATAGAAAAACATTTTAAATTGTAATAATAGGAATCTACCATCTTTGTAGAAATGATACACAATTGGATATGTAATGTAACTTACAGCTATAGCCATTCTTAGGGACCAAAATCTTAATAATGATACATGCATCATCCCTAGTGCACATTATTGAAAGTTTGGATTATGTATGACAGTATATATTATGAAATTTCAGACTTTGCAGAAAGCCCTTTATTTTCCAGAAAATTGTCATAAAATGGGTTGCACCCAATTGTTTATATATGTCTGTGTGCATGTATGTGTGTACATATTTTTTTAATCCATACTTTACAAAAACAAAGGCACAGACATCATTTCCATTGGTGTGCCAGAGATTTGCAGAAATACTCTCTCTCCTATTAATAATAATGTCACTTGCTTGAATAAATCTCCTGCTTGTTGGGGTCTATTCTCTAAAGTGTGTGACTCATTCCAATTAGCATGTGTGTGAATTTTGTTTATATAACCAGGGGAGAGTAGATCCCAACTGTGTGAAAAATAGACCCCCATGGTGTGTGCAAACTATCAAATTCTATTTCTACTTACTGAAAGATTGTATGGGTGTATGCATTTATTTTTGTAGCCCTGCCGGGCTACCATGACAACTGAAGATTTACAAATTACACGTCATTACTATAGTGAATCACATTCATGGCAGGGTTAGAGAATGGCCTTTGTTGAATTCTTAACACAGCTAATCAATTATCTCACTCTATAAGGTAGATAAGAGTCTCTTATTAAAACCTAAAAAAATAGGAACATGGAATTGAGCCACTGAGGCAAATCACCTGCAATTACAGGCAGTCATATTATATAATGCCTATTATAAACTGAGCAAGCTCCACCTAAAACCCTACTCTTGCTAGAAAGCTTATAATTAGAACTATTCTGTTATTTTCAAACTACTACTTAGTAATTTTCAGAAGAATCTTATTCATTACTAATAAGTCTTTATTCTTACTATTCATCTATAATGTCAAATTGGAGTAAGAGTTACTAAGGTCATGATCTAACTTCTTTTGACTTTCATTGATTTTTGCCTGGAGCTGGATCAGGTCCATGAGACCTACATTTTTTCACTTCCATCAACAGGAAAATGCATGTTTGTTTAGTATGTAGGAAGCTACTATTTCAATGGTGAGTCTGCAACCTGGCCTTCTACAAATTGAAAGTAAGTCAGTTATTGTTACACAGACACTAATCTGCACTTTAGTCAGATACAGTATTTGAGTTATGGATGAGATATAATTTGTATCAGTGTGTGTATGTAAATCATGGAAGATCTATAAAGTTGTGCTATTTTTTTCCCAAAAAGAGGAGGAGAGATAGTTATATTATAGTTAATGTACCTTAAGGCAAATACATGTATTTCATGAAGTATAAATGTTCAATTACACTGCCCCAAAGCATCCACTAAAAGTGCTGATGATGACAGTGCGATTTGTCTTCTGAGAAGTGTTCAGTTACTTATCTACCCCTTTCAGTGCTTCTTTAAATGAAGGTTACCTGATAAGACCACATTTTACCTGGACTGTTTTGCATTTGAATAGGAATATTGTATATTTCCTGGGAAGTGGAAGAGTTGGAATCTTGTGGCTATGCTGGTTTAGACATGGATATGCAGGATTTCTGGTGATATATGTTATTGGACAAACTGTATAGTTAGGAGAGATCATAGACAAGCTTTTGGTTACAAATTCTCCTTCCTCAGGACTGGGAGCGAAGCGGAGACTACCTAAATTATCATGATAGTTTAGGTAGTCTCCGCTTCGCTCCCAGTCCTGAGGAAGATGTCCTGGTCTGGTGGTGGGGAGCCATGCCCCCTGCTTCATGCCTCTGGGGGGCTTGCCCTCATGCTGCCCCAACTGCCTTGGAGCATCACAGCAGGGGAAGGAGGTATTAGGTGGGAGTGGATTGTAGGCAGTCAGTGCAAGGGCAGAAAAAAGTTTGCTTGGCTTTCTAGGACTTCTGAGAAGCCACACCATGTGCAGCCCTGGATGATAATAGATTTGGCAAAGGCCTTGTTGTTGGGATTGCAGATGAAGCTCTGGTTCACCACATTGCCACACAGCAGCTCGGTCACAATCTCCAGCTTGTTGGCAGTACATAGGCAGGTGGTGTGGTCGCTGGGTGACAGCGTTGGTGTGGGCAGCAGCTCAAACTTCTTCCAGATGTCTTCATAGAGAGCAGGTGGTTATAGCTTACTGCTCTGCTGCTGTGCCACCAGGTAATAGCTCTCATCCTCCTCCTCAAAGTAGAAGTAGGGCTGCACCAAGTCATAGTTGTAGTTCTTGTTGGCCAGGCTTGCAGTCAGCAGCATTGCAGCATTCAGCACCTGCAGGGCACACATGTCAGGACACCTCTAGATTCAGGGGGAAGCATGGGGCAGCCCCCCAACCTACAGCCCCTCCAAGCAGCTCCATTGTATAGGGGTGCATCCCCCACAAAAAGGCTGTATTTTATAGGGTGCCTCCCCCCAGGCTGCACCCCCCCAGGCAGATCTGTTGCGTGGGGGTACACTCCACACCCCAGTCTGTCAGAAGCTGCAATTGCCTTCACTAGCCGCACCTCCCCCAGTATCCTCTTGCCTACCCCACCTATCCTCCTTCCTCCTCCAGCTATGGGACAACCTGCACCTGCTGGCCGGGACCCCTCACTCTCCAAGCATGCAGAGTGAGAGGAAACAGCTGGGCAGAGGTGTAGGCAGCCCCCTGGCAACTGCAGCTGCCCTACTCCCAGGGTTCAAGTGAGGAAAGCATAGTTCACCCTCCCTTTGCACTGGCTGCCTGCAACCCACTCCCCTCCAACACCCTCTTCCCTGCTGTGATGCTCCAAGGCACCCAGGGCAGCATGAGGGCAAGCCCCACAGAGGCATAGAACATGGGGCACAGCCCCCCAGCACCAGCCTGGGAAACCAGGCTGTCACTGTCTTGGCCTGCCTGCCCAGGCCAGAGCTCCCACTGATTGGAGCTGCCTCCGGATCTGGAGACAGCTCCTTCCCCAGAGCTTGGGGCTAAGCCAAGCAGCAGTTGTGGCCCCCTGCTGCCTGAGCTGACTGGGAGCAATTTGCTTCCAAGCCAGGATCTTCCTGTGTGTTCAGGTGCATTAATGTAAAGTACCATTGGCT